TTTTGGATGCCAAAACTTTTAGAGATTCAGGTTGGCAGTTGTATGCCATTGTATAGCAAAGATCGGCTTTTGTGTCGGCATTGCCGACCTGAATTTCGCTGACTGTATATATATATATATATATATATATATATATATATATATATATATATATATATATATATATATATATATATATATATATATATATATATATATTGAGATATAAGTGAGAGAGAGATTTTGTGATATATATAAGTGAGAGAGAGATTTTGATCCTGATTATTATATCTCTTTATAGATTTTTTTTATTTATTTGATCTCTTTATCAATGTTTTATATTTGATCTTTATAGATATATTGTTTTAGCTACTAGAAAGGAAAATGTTTATATTAGTTTTGTTAATTTTTCTTTTAATTTTGTAAGGAAGATTTATTTTTAAAATTTTAGTTTAATTAAATTATTTTATTCTATTGTACAATTTAGAGTAGTACAAAAAGAGATAAGAATTTGAATCAATTTGTCTTCTTTTTAATAAATATGTTTAATGAAAGCAATGACATTGAAATGGGTTATAGGCTAGATGATGTTTTGCATTTACAAAATAATATTAATGCTATAAGGCGCGTTGAAAACAATCATCCCCGAAATGAAAGAAACAGACTTAGGCGAGATGAAATTAATCGTCAACAAAATGTAAAAAGAGCTGGTATACGAGTTGAAGATAACTTGAACCTAAACATAGAAAGGGTGGTTAGGCTAGTTGAAAATAATCGTCTTAGGAATGCTTGAGATAGAGCTAGACAAGATGAAATTAATCAACTACAAAATGTTAGAAATCCTGCTCGACGAGCAGAAAATCATTTGAACCCAAATGTGGACAATGCAGTTATGCAAATTGAAAATAATCAACGCAGAAATGATAGAGATAAAGGTAGGAGAGATGAAATTAATCTTCGCCAAAATGCTAGAAATGCTGCTAGACCATGAAGAATGTATTCTATAACAAGAGGTAATGCTATTCCAGATTGTAATTATTTAGGAGAAATGAATCAAATTTGTCAGCATTGTGGTGCTAAGAAATTTCCAGATGAAACACATTTTCTATGTTGCCATAATGGTAAGGTAGCTTTACCTTCACTTTCACCATTTACACAAGCTTTACAGGATTTATTTACAGGGAGTTATGTAGATCATAATGCTAATGGTAATTTTTTTGTTATTCGTTAACATTTGAGTAATATCAAAGCTATCACTCCCAACACCCAGGGCCTCTCTCAGAGAGGTCCTTCAATAAGTGGTGTAGAAATGGCGGTATAGATGAGTCCTCCTTCAAATGGAGGGCTCATCTATACCGGGGTGTTGGGAGACACCGAAGAAAAAGCGGCTACCAAAAAGTTGTAAATAACTTCTATCAGTGAAGACATTTATTACTTTTTTGTTGCCACTTTTTTTTCTGTGATTTTTTTTTTTTTTTTTAATAATTTTTCCATTTTTTTTTTTAAAATAATATATTATGTTGTATATTTGATTTGTTTTGGTCTTTTTTAATTAAAATTTTAATAATTTTTTCACCAATTAAACTCAAATATAGTTAAACTGATTCATTATCCAATTATCATAATATAATGATGCAGCATGCTTTTGTTAAAAATGATTAATTAGTAGTTTCATTTATTAAACTCACTGCTTTTAAAATTTATTATATGCCAAGACAATTTATTTAGCTATATAAATGCAATTTTTTTTCATCAATTTGATTTTTTTATTTTTAATGTTTATAGTTTGGCTACTTAAAGTATTTTATATGTTGCTTTTTAATTAAAATATTTTAAATCCATTGTGATGTCTTTTAAATCAAACTAAAGTTTGCTAAAAGCCAACATAAAATAACGTCATTAAACAACACCGACAAGAACTGCTGCATCATGACAACAACTGAAGTATCACAACAGTTTACCGAAAGCTGGTAAATTGTTTTCCAGTTATTTATTTTTTTTCTTTTATGTTAATTTATCTGTTACAATTTTAATTTTAAGTTTGTCATATGACGCATTAATGCAATATAAAAGATCAAAGTTTACATATTTTTTAAAATTTGTTATACACATGTTTGATTGTAAATTAAATTTTTTTTGTTTGAAACGTATTTGTATTTAATTGCTTAGTTATTTATAATAAACTTAGTTATATTTAATAAATTTATTTAGTTGTGTGCATTTAATGTTTTTAAGATAACAATTTTCTTTTCTAAAGAAAAATTAATCAAGGGGATACCAAAAAATTGATAACTCCTGTATAATATAAGTTAACTTAATCTTAATAATTAATTCAAGTTAATGTTATAAAAATTACTACAAGGATTTAGTGGATATTTTCATCAATTTAAAGCATAATGAAGTGTTATTATTTTATGTCAGTAACTAAAAACGTATTGTGTTAAACTTAGGAATGTCGAGGAAAATGGTTCTGCCTTACACTGTTATGACTTACGTCAGTTACTCAAATGTTAATATATATATATTTTTTTAATTTTAATTCACCTCCTCAAGGCCGAGAAGGCTACTACAGACAAGGAGGCTACTTATTTGTGGCTATAACCCTCTCTCAACTCTGTAACTCCGAAACACGAACCTTGACAAACAAGGCCGCTGCGCGGAGAAATGAGTTGAGTTGGTAATTGGTAAATTATTTTACTTCATAATTGTAAATTATTTTACTTCAATAATTGGTAAATTATTTTACTTCATACTTTTTATGTTAATTTTACAGATGGATTAATTTTTTTAATTTGAAGGCATTTTTCTGAAAGGGTATTAGTTAAGGTTTTGCAACATTAAATTGTGGAAAACAGCCACTATAAATTCTTTATGTAACAGACCAACCATAACCCGTATTACGGGTCGCTTTTTGCTAGTTTTATATAATTAGCTTAAAAAATAAATGGCACTGAAAAAAATAATTAAAAAAGAAATTGAGACTGAGTATCAATATCTCTGAAACCGTAAGGATCTGAGATGGCATCGTGCTGGGCATAAATAGAATTGAACTGTAATGACCCTTCAATAACACAAATGTTTTTTAAAAACAACTCCATAGATTCCTTATTTAGATTTTTTTACTACTTGCTTACATCATAACAAAAAAGACGATTTGTATTTGAACCTTAAACGTTTTAATTTTAAAACAAACATTTTCATTTGCATTTAAAACATTTTCATATAAAACAATAAAGCAAAATTAAATGTTTGAATGAACAATTGAATATTTGGCATTCTTCGATGTGATTAATACTCTTTTATAAGTAAACAAAATTGGTTACTGTCTGTGTGACTTTGTAATTACAAATTTTCTTGCTATGTGATTTACATTATAAAATTATAATTTATAAAATTAATTTTGTAAAAAACATGCAATGTGAAAGTTAATTTAAATACAAGTTATTTTTTACAAACAAGAAGTGTGTAGTTCAAACTTCAGCTTGCTTGCTTTTATGTATTTTAACAAAGCCTTTCCAGGAAGCGTGTGCAGTTGCACGCCTCGTTTGTCCATGTTTAAAGTAATTTTTTTAGACTGACCGTGGAAGTTTGCAACTTTTAACTTATAAAGTGTTTCAATAATTCGAGGCAAAAAGCTAAACTTATTTACTATGAAAAAAATTCTTCAATAAGGAAACAAGTTTGTAACGAAATATTAAGTTTAATTAAATAAACTAGAAAATTTATTAAAAAAAGTAAACTAAAAAAAAAAAAAACAACTTTTTCATTCTTTTTTTTAAAGTTGTTGTTGAAAAAAACATCTTTTATAATGATTTAACAACAATTGAAAGTTTTGATATGAGCAATTTATTCACGATTTTGATATGAGCAATTTATTCACGATTTTGATATGAGCAATTTATTCGCGATTTTTATCAGTCTATATAATTAAGAAACTAATTTGCTATGTACGCTAGAACTATAAAAAATTTTGTTAATTTTTTTTTTTAGGTTTATTTGTTTATTACGTTTATTCATTTTTACGTTTTTTTACATTTAAAAAAGTTTTTGCTATATTTGATGTTTTTTTTCAATACTTATATAATAGGAAAATAAAAAAATAAATTGTTATTTATATGTAAAAAATATTATTTGATTAATAAATTTTGTTAATGATGGAATAAGTTAAGTAAAAGTATCTTTTATATTGCCCAATTTTAAATGTTTATACGAATTACTAGAGATTTTGAACATAACGATTGCTCTGTTTAAAAAAATGTATTTAAAAACTTCAAAAAAAGTTTTAAATAGGCTCCTAAAAATTTTGTTGAGAAAGTTCAGTAAATTGAGAATGCGCTAGCCCACAAAATTTTGCAACATCGTTTTATTTATTTTACATAAAAAACTTGTTTAAAAAATATATATTTTTTTTACAAATAAATAGCAATTAGTTTTCTCGCTTTCCTGTGCATTGATAAAAACAGTCAAGTTTAGCAAAGACATTTAAAAAACAAATTTAAAAATTGTCCATGTTTCTAGCGTAACTTATAAAGTATTTCTTTTATATACTGACTGAAAAAAGTCGCTAAAAAATTAATATCAAAAAATTATTTTATTTTTGTAATATTCTTACCTACTTTTTTGCTCAACTTGTATCAATATAAAAAATAATAAATATAGTGGAAAATAACAAATGCCTGAAAAATAAGAAAACAAAAAGAGTAAAATATTTAGGTATATTATTTTTTTGAAAACAATTTTCTTATTTTTTATTATTAAATTCTTAAGCTTATTTATTTAGATTTTCTATTTCCTATAGTCTTCGGTTTTTTTTCTTTGAGTATTGCTATTTTATTCTCTAGTTTCTAATTGCTTTGTTTCAAGTTGCCTAAGAAAATTACTTTAAGAGTGGACATACAAGATGTGCAACCACACGCCCTTCCCTGGAAAGGCTTTTTTAACAGCCTTTCTTATTTTTTAGATCATTGTGTGGATTTAAAAGTGCCTAATTTAAAATGTTATACTGCACTAATATATATTACCGATTATTCCATTTTTTACATGGGTTAATCCACTTGTATAGAAGCATTGAAAAGTGACCAAATGAAAGTATCTATTGACTGAATTATTTGTTCCCAAAACACGAATATACCTAAAATATAACCATAAATCTGTATTTGTTATTATATAAAATATTGTATTGCTTTGTTGAAGCCTTCTAGTAAAAATTTCACAAGGAATTTTTTTAGAATTTTAATCAAAGTTAAAGTATACAAATCAAAAATAAAACAAATAAATAAAAACTTAAGCTTAAACCTTAAGTCAGTGCTGGGCATATTGGATAATTCTATGCCATACAAATTATACTTTTTTACTTCATTTCCTCTAAACATTTTTTCTAGGTACACTTGTAACAAAAATTTGCAAAAGATAAAATTTAGATTAAATAGAAAGACTAGTAAAAACCTTTAAAATTACATAAAATGTATTTAGAAATAGAAAAAGAAAAAGAGAGAAAAAATGATACAAAATAAATAGTAGAAAATTGAAATAGAATATAATTTTTTTTAGTAAAACGATAAGTATTGAAATTTTTTTTTTAGTTTTCATTTTGAAAAAAGAAATAACTAAAAAGATTTTCTGCATAAAATAATACTTTTACACCTTTTTTAAAGTATTGTTTTGAGTTTTCAATATTTTAGTGAAAAGAAGAAAAAAAGAAAGAATAAGAGTCAAAAAATTTAATTTCATAGAAATAAAATGCATTTTAATAAAAGTAATTTAAATATATGGAATAAACAAAAAGCATTTAACATCAATTAACAGCATCAGAGCAAATGCATCTACAAAGCAAATAAACATAAAAAGAAATTATTCATTTTTAGGACCAATGTCAATATAGCAATATAGCAGTCACGCATCATAAATGACACTATTAATAATCCAATATGCTGTATCAACAGGTCGATATGAGAAAAACTACTAGCTTTAAACTATTAATTGAAACCCTTTTAAATTAAGTTTGAAAAATTAAGACGCTTCTAAATTAAAAAATATATTAGCTTTTATGATTTTATTTTCTCTAGTTTATCTTTTATTTATTTTATCATTCAATAAGTTCCTTTCTATTCAGTTTATGATTTGTTTGTTTTTAATTTTCTCTTGCCATTGTAGTCATGCTACATCTGAGTTAATTGATGATCTGTTTTTTTTGCCTATAAAAAGTCTTTTTTAATATGAAAGCTGCATGGTTTTTTTTTGATGAAGTATATATTGAATTCATTTTTCTTATAACCTATAGTTTAACTTGTAGTTAATAAGGATTATGTAAAAACAAATTTACGAACTATTTTAACCAAACCTTTTATGATGCTTTCAAATAACATCAACTAAATCTGTTTATGGTCTATTGTGATATTTTTATGGTCTATATGATGGTTATTTTGACTACTTTTTATTATTAGAAACCATGTAGGAACATTTTATATGAATTATACAAGAATATAAAATAACTTTATTTACTTATATAAGCATGCATTTTCTTGATTAATTGAAAAGTTTTGAAGTATTTTGTCATGTTCATACGATTAATTTTTATTATTAAACTTACAACTTTTTTTAATTACAATAGGAATGAATGAGTTTAAATCTTTTATAATAATTTTTAAATTCGTTATGTGAAACGCTTATTAATAAAGTTAAAAATTGCTCGTAATGCTCAAATTAAAATTAAATTAAATTGCTTATTTTTTTTCCTTCCTATTTTTAAGAATAAAAAAGTTGAAAATCTTTTTTCAACTTGACTTACTAATTAGAGCATGAAATTATTAAAAATTATTATTTTAAAAAACGGCACTTTATTTTTTTAAACAATTTTTTTTTTGTAACTTTTTTGAAAAACTAAATGTTAAAAATATATATTTTTTTGAAAAACCTGTATTATTTTTTCCTTAGTAACCTGTATTATTTTTTCAATTTTTTTTTTTTTTAAGTTTAGCTTAGCGTTTCTATTTTTAGAAACATATGGTGTATTTGGTAAAAAATCAAAATAATAATCGTGGTCAATTTGTCAAAAAAAAAAAAAAAAAAAAAACTCGTCAGAAAAATAAAATAAAATTTATAATATAATTTATTTAAAAAATATCACAAGTTTAAAAAAGCAATATTAAATTATGTAACATGTCAACTAAAATTTTCTTGTTATGTTTTGAAAAATTGATGCATTGGGGAGGGGTCAATTTTGCAATAAAAAATGTGCACAGGAGAGGGGAGAGGGGGTCTTAAATAAGTTATTTTACTGAAAGCAAAGATTTACTTTTATTGAATGTTTATAAAAAGAAAATTTTTAAATTTGTTTTTTAAGTTATATAAAGTTGAGAAAGTTTAATCAAAAATTATATAAAATTTAATAAATTATATAAATACAGATTAATTTTTTAATATTTAAAAAGTATTTTTAATGTTAAACATAAATCTTTTAAAACAACTTTTATAATTGATTTTTTAAAAACAATAATTTCAACAACAAATGTATTTTTAATGAAATTTTATTAATAATCATTAAAGTTAATGAAACTATTAATCAAATAAACATACAGGAACTTACAGGTGACTGAACACAAAACATACTTATATACATAGTGAATTACAAGTAGATAAATAACGTGCCAGAAATTCTAACAAAATACAAACATACATTGCATAATATTCTTACAGCTGAACCAGCACCACGTCATAAGTCCATACAGAACACAAGCAAACAAATATATGAAGTGAATTACAGATAAACTAACACTGCCCAAGAGGTCCATACAAAAACAAACATTAAAAATTAAAAAACCCACTCACTAAACATCAGCGGTATTGTGAAGCAGTTCCGCTGCCTCTTTATAAATTATTTTTTACCTATTTAGTTTAACCATAAAAGTTTGCTTTTAAATAATTTAATGCAATAAAAACTTGTTTTTAGTTTGCAAAATACAAAATAAAGTATAATTCTATTAGAAGAAATAAAATTCAATTTTTTATTTTCTATTTTTTAAAACACTTTAAAGACACTGCTAAAAGAAAAGATAGTTTTAATAATTTTATAGTAACTCAATGACTTAATTGTTTCTTATGTTCATCTAACTAAAAAGAATTGTTTTAAATATTTTAAACTTAAAAAAATATGCATAATATGGTTATAAAAAAAGGGTTATAATAAAATATATACTTTTTATTTATTAAAATCTATATTATAATTAAAACTTTTATTAAAATCTTGTTGAAATGAAATATTACATAAATAAAAGAAATAGTGTTATACTTATTGATAAATTGAAGAATGTTAGTTTCCTTATTAAACAATGATTATCAGTAAGATATTACTTTATATAAAAATGTTGCTTAATTTTATAAAAAAATTATACCAAAACAAAGTTTAAAAATTATTAATTGTAAATTATTTTGTTTTTAAGTAATGGTTTTTTTGTTAAGAACTCTTTACTTTTTTTAGATAAGTTTTATTTGTAATTGTCTCCCAGGGTCAGAAAAAGAGTGCGATCTAACCAAGCTCAAAACTAAACGCTTCTGACCAAGACCAAAACTAAAAACCCCAAATCTCAACAATCTTTGAAAGTTATATAATAGTATTTGATTTTCTTTAAAATTAACTACTCAACTCTTTCTTTAATTTGCTCATTAAAACATTTGAATTACATACATTACAATGGAAACACAAAAAATAGTAAGCTATACTCTGTTTTTCAACACAATTAAATATGGTAATTTCCTAATGAAACCAGAATATTAATATAATTAGAAATGTCCAGAAAAAATATTCTCTTGTTATTATTTACTGTGTTGGTATAGTATTTCTCTCTGTATTATAGTCGTATTTAGTGCTATGCGTTTAAATGTCAGGTTGTAATATTTTTTTTCTTATTTATTTTTCATATTGCGATTTTATGGTTTTATATTTAATCTTTTTATGATTAATCTCCAATTACAACTTAATATCCTATGTTTGTTTTTTGTTTTTTTCTTCTTCTTTAGCTTTAACTTATTGTCTGGTTTGTGACTATGAGTGAAATGTAATTAATTTCTGTTATTTATGATAAACCATCAGGGTGTTAGCTAGCCTAATGGCACTACCTTTTTTCCACTATAAGGTATCTATGCATTAGTATTTTATGCAGACTTAGATGTTTTATCAATTCCGGTAATTTCACTAAACACATCCTGATTTATAAAAGCTTTCCTGGCTGTTTAACCATCTTTAGTGTTCCCACTATCACCTGATCTTGGTTGATCTACTAAGAATCCAAGAACCTTTTCTGAATTAAACTCTTTTGCTCTATTACTGAATTTATGGCTTCAAAAGATTTCGCCAAGATTTAATTTTTATTTTATAAGCAATATGCAAAAAGCATATTTCTTAAAATATTTTATTATGCAGCTAAAACAAAGTTAACAGTATAATACGAATGAAAATTAGTAATAATTTCAAAACAAAAGTAACCCTAATTTAAATGACAACTGTAATATTAGTTATTTCCAAGTGACAACTGTAATGTTAGTTATTTCTATACGAGGGAGAGTGCAGTAGAGCTATTACAGGTATTCAGTTCTCAAATTTAAGAATAACATATTTTTATTATCCTCATTTTATCAAAATAAACTGGATTCATCAACAAAATTTTCGGCATTTTTAAGTTACATTGATATCATATATTAAAACCCCCTCAAAGTGAGGAGGTTGTACAAAATGTTTATAGCTTTAGAGCTTGACAGTGCTCAAAGTTGCAAGAAGTAGCAGCCAAAACTAATTTTACCTCATAGTAAACATGTTAATTATTTGTTGTATATACTTATAAATGTTTTAATTTGTGTTCCAAAAAGTATTAGGTTATACATATACCTCTCTGACTATTGTAATTAAGATTTTTTACATATTTTTTTAAACAATAGAAAAAATAAAGTAATTTACATTTATATTTTGTTATTATTGCAAGAAAATAATAAGTTACATATATATTTTAAAGTTTACTAAAAAAAGCCCAACAAATAAAAATAATTTGAAATTTGTGAAGAAATAAAGTTAAACATATTTTTTATTGAATTTTAAATTGTTTTGAAGTTCATAAAAAAGAACCCTCTTTAATTTGTAACTTAAGAAACAGTTTTTGAGTTATAAAAAAAAAAAATATCCATTTTTAGAAAGGCTATGATACATTCTATACACATATCTAAAAAAAAATTTTTTTTTTTAAGAACATCACTTTTATGACTTTTGTCACAGCCTGGCCCACTTCATGTATAAGTTATCCATATGATGAACAGTGGGCCAGAAATAATTAGTTGATTGTTTTCTTAATTTATACTGTTACATAAAAAAAAAAGAATTTAAATAAACTTCCATACCTTATTACTCTTTGTGGAAAGCATATTTTTTGCCACGATCTGCACATATAAATAGAATAGTCAACAATTTGAATCCAATTTTGATTATCAAGAGAACCCTCAATAATATATGAATATGATCGCTGATCTTTATCCCACAACAATAGTTTAATCATGTTGATAATACTAGGACGACTTAATGCTACCACAATACCTTGTTTTTCATCTGAAATTAGGTGCCTTGTAAAACCTCTTTCGAGATCATAACATGCAAATTCTCCATCAAACAAAGTGTCACAGAATTCTCCTGATAAAACTGTGGCACCAAAACAATTTTGAGCCAAATTTGTTTCTGAATCTAAAGATAAAATTTAATGATTATAAATGATAAAATATGAAAACCATTTTGTTTGCTTTTAAATCAAAAGATGTTATTTTATTTTTTGCCTTTTTCAAAATATAACTTATTATGTAAAGCTTATTTAAATACTTAAGTAGTAAAAAGTTTTTTTTGATAATAAATTTATACATTAATGCTAATTTTTTTAGCATGATGGAACATTTTCCAAATTACCTCTTCCCCACCCCAGAAAAATTTTGAAATCATAATGACAAGTGGCCACAAGACTTTTTTTTTGTGGTTCTTAATTTTTTAACTTTATAATATATATTTGAAACTATACAAAATTTTCTATAAATCTTGATTGTTTTTGTTAATAATTTTAATCAACTCAATATAAAAAATTGTGTAGTTAAGACCATTTGTTGAAAATGATGGAGCAATCGTACTTTAAAAATGATTTAATGACACCCATTTTACAACATGCTCAACATTAAAGTGACTTAAATATCAGTACAACATTTAATTTATAGTAAATATTAATAGGCTTAAGTGTACATTTCGGTTTATTTCAGTGGTAACTTATCCTGGACAACAAACTGAAAGTCATCTGCAAATTCTCTGCAAAAAAAAAAAGAAGAGGAAAAAAACAACATTAATATAGAAATGCTTTGTTTATTTAACACATTGTTTATTTTTGAGTTTTGCACTCTCTACACACAAAAAATCTCTGTTTTTTTTTTTTTTAATACTAATATTAGGGAAGGGGAATTAGAAAAGCAAACTTCACTCCCCCATGACCTTGAACCCACCTCATGCTCAACAAAATTGATATCAAAAATAATTTTAATAATTTATTATTGATTTTAAAAATAACTTTTTTCTACTTTAAATAATTTAGGATTTTGTTACAAATAAATCACCAATAAATTATATACAGACTCAACATTTAAATAAGGTTTACATAAAAAGCTGTATTTAAAAAGACAATTTATCTTTTGCTTTATAAGCACTGCTTGATACCTATATAAGAAATTTAGAGAATAAATGATGACATCATCATTTTGACCATAAAAATACTTTAAAATATGCTTTTAATATTCAATTTAGATGTAGTTATAACGCTGTAAAAATACACCAAATTTCAAACTGATAACTCATTTCATTGCTGAAATGAAAAGATGCAAGTCAGCATAAATTATAAACTTTTTGTCTTCTTTGCTGAATTGTCATGGAATGAAAAAATTTGTCTCAGTAATTACAAACCTAAATATCCACGTAGAGGCATATCACTGACACCCAATTCTGTCTTCATCTGAACAGCATCTAATATTGCATCAGAATTAAAAAGTTTAGATTTTCTTACAACATGAAACAAATCATGTAAACTTATTAATGGTAATCGCACATACTTTAAAATTGAATTTTTGTCTAACATTGGTTCATTATTTTTTATCCAGTCAACAATTGCATTAAAAATGTTTATTTCTGGTGCATAAAAAGAATCTCTTGAAATTATAGCCAATAGAGAAGTCTCTGAAAGACTTACAAAATTTTCAGATGCCAAAACATCTATTGCATTATGATCTATGAAGATTAGACATTTTTGTTTTAAAGATGTTAATGAATATAAACATGCTGCATCATATATAATAGTAACATTTTCAATACTAATAATTGACTCTAAGTAGGATCCAACAGCATTTTGCAACGCTAATAAGTCATATTTGTTAGCTGCATTTAACAAATCAATAACTTCATGATCTTTCAGAGTCTTCAACACAACTAACCCAGAATAAATGTAATTCAGCAACATTTGAAATGATGTAGAAGATGTATCACATATTACAATATCTGATGTTGAGTTAGACTCTCGCATTCCACCATAAAAAAGAGCTCTAAAATATTCACAGCGGGCAGCAAGAATTAATCTGTGACAAAAAAATTTTTGATTGTCCACAATAAAAGTTACATCAGAAAATTTTTTAGAAATAAAAAGAGAGTCCATTTGAGAAGAAAGCAACTGTATATGATTTATTTCTCCTTTTGAGCTATTTAAAGTACAAAGCTCTTGAATATGATTTGAATATTCTTCTAATTTTTCACAATCCATTTAAATCTAAATAAAAATATTTCTAAAATTACTATTTATAAGTATACATATCTTTAAAATTTTTAACAAAAATCTTGATAAAAAACTTTACTGTTATAAGTTTTATGTTAAAAATGTAATAAAAGTAGTTGTAAAACATAACTCTTTACCACATCACTAGTGGAGGTAACAAAAACAGATAAACAGTAATTATTTATTTTAGGTCTGCTTGAGCATTAACAATTTAGTGCACACCAATGAGAAGTAAGTTACACCATCACATCAGCCACTAGCGCACCTTGTAAGCACTTAAATAATTACCATAGCACATTGCTATACATAATAGAATAGACAAACAAGGCCAGAAAATTAACTAGTAAATGGTTTTAAGTAATAGTAAGTAGTAAACTTGGTAACTTAAACTGTTAACTAAACAAATAAACTAAATAGACAACTTTAATTTCCTCTATTCAATTAAAATAAATACCATAATATTACAAAATGCACTTTCAGATATTAAACCTTTACAAAACTGAGTGTGTATCATCTAGTGCAAAATATATTTTGCAGTATCATCTTTGATTTTATTAACATTAATAAAATAACATGTAATAAAATATTTACAGGCGCATTCGGTCGTAAATATTTAACGACCTCGCTGTTTAAAATATTGCAAAACAGAAGTATGTAATTTGCAGAACAGCTAAAATGGTCGACCTTAGAAAAGTAAACAAATATTTTCTCCGAAATTATTTCGAGATTACCCAAATGGCTTGATGTAAAGAAAGTTCATATAAATCCTCGCAGAGTAAACATAATTTAGAAATTAGGTATCTATAAATATCGAAGTATTTTTCTGATAAATAAAAAGTAACTTTTCTTTTTCAGTTTACGCTGTTTCATCAATTTCGCATTATTAATAATTATTAGATTTAAGTCAAATAAAAATGTTTCATCAATTTAACATTATTATTAATTATTAGACTTAACTCTAGTAATTATTATTATAAATAAAAAATCAGGAATCTATAAAGCATCCTAAACTTTTTTAGTTAAAAGTATTTTTTTTTTTTAATTCTTAATTTTTCTCTAATTTAGGTCCAATAAAAATATAAAAGTTTTTGTATATCATTACACCAATTTTTATAAATATTTATTTAATATTAATATTAAACATTGATGAAGTTTTTAACTTTGTTTTAATCATAAAATTTTAAAATATCTATGGATTTTTTGATGAAACTAATTTTATGAAGCTTAAATTAATGAATTTTTATCTAGTTTAAGATTTTAAATTATTTTAAAAAAGTTTTTAAAATACTTTACTTATGGATGGGTGTGGAAGAAAGAAGTAACTTAATGTTTCTTTTCAAGAGATTAGTTTTAAAAAAAAATCATTTAAAAACAGTTTAATAAATTACATGTTTTTAGTTAAATAATTTCTCCTATCTGGAATTATTTTTCAATTTTTTTTTTAAATTAAAAATAATTCCAACCTTTATATCTTTAAAATCAAATAGGACTTTATATTTTTATTGGACCTAAATTAGAGAAAAATTAATTTAAAATTGAATGACTAATTTAAAACTTAGTTAAAATTAATTACAACTAACAATAATAAGTAATGTAAAGTAATAAGTAAAGTAAATTAAAATTATAATAAGCAACAATAATAAATTAATTAATTTTAGTCTTTTATCTTGTGCTTAATATTTGAGCAGTTTCTTGTATAAAATGTCTTTATTTTTAGTTCCTAGAAGCTGATTGGGTTTTATTAGGGCTGCAAAAATTCTATAGTTTTTATAGGGCTTATAGTTTTTATAGGGCTGCAAAAATTCTATAGTCTATATAAAATATTGTAGCAAAAATCAATTTTTTTATTTAGGTTGTTGTAATTTTTATTGTATGTTATATTGAAAAAGTATACTACAGTTATACTATTTTATACATAAGTTTATTTATTTTCAGCATTACGTTATGAATGATGTTTTAACCCTTGACCTTCAGGGTGTTGAATCAGTGTATGATGATAAAGGATTTCTTTTGGATACAATTTCATCAGATTCATCTGATAGAGATGGCTTTTTAACCACTATTCTTGAACAACCAACAGAAGAGTCAGTAGTTTCTCCTAATTATCATAAGTTAAAAGATCATTTTAATCGATTAGTAATTGTTTCATGGAAAATACGCCAATATGGCCTTTTATTAAAGGCTCTAAAGAATAATGTGGCTATCTTACGCTATAAAAATGATGCAAGTTTTTCCAGTATTTTGCAGAGTGTTGAAGATTTGTTATGTGGTGATAAAATGATTAGTGTTGCTATGCTTACTTATGGCAGCCCAGGAAATCTTATCATTTGCCATGACAAGGTTTTAGTCATTTCATTAAGTTTTTTAATTAAATTTTTGAATCTTTTTTCATAATTATTTTTCTATTTTAACTTCAGGTACTTTCTTTAAAAACCCTACACGAAAATATAGAAATCAAGCAGTTTTTTATTAAATTAGTTGATATTTCAATTGATAGATCAAATCCTAATTCTCATTTTGACTTTTTATGCACAACACTGGATTCAACATTTGATGGCCAACAAACTATTCAGGAACTTCAGGATTATATTAGAGTATAAAAATACAAGCATTTTTTGAATATTTATATTTTTACATATAAGTATTATATTTTAGATAGTGTTACAATTTTTTTAATGAGATTGCAATTTGAAAATTATTTTTTGTTTTTTAACTGAAATAAGTTTTTCTTTTAGCTCCCAATAACTACAAACAAAGATATTTTTGGAAAAGATGGGGAAAGGTATTTAAAAATAAAATTATAAATATATACTATAATAGTAAAATCGCATATGTGACATAGAAAGTTTTTTTGGTGTTAAAGCTATATATATATATATATATATATATATATATATAATATATATATATATATATATATATATATATATATATATAAACACACATTCAACATTTGATATATATATATATATTATATATATGAACATATATATATATATATATATATATATATATATATATATATATATATATATATATATATATATATATATATATATATATATATATATATATAATAAAGTAATGTAAACTTAAACTAAAATTAAAATTAACATACCATAAACTGAAATGAGAAATAAAAACAAAAAAAAAAACAAAAAAAAATATACAAAACTAACTTAAGTAAAAAAAAAAATATTTAAAAAAAATATTATAAATGATAAAATAAGTAATTATTTTAGATAATTACTTGTTTTATCATTTGATAAACCAGATTGTTAATTTTATGCTTTTGTAGTTAATTTTGATGTTAATTTTATGCTTTTATTTTTTCTGGCTTATCTTTTGATAAACCAAAAAAAATAAAAGCATAAAATTAACATTTGACTTTAAAAGTGTTTTCCTTTAGAGTTTAGAAAATATCAGTTTCAAATTTATTTAACTCAAGCTTAATTACTTTGAAACTTAATTATTCAAAAATTTGAAACTTTGATATTTTCTAATGTCTAAGCAAGTAAAACATAAAAAAAATTATTTGTTGATAGGATTTTAACTTTTATCTAACATCGAAGTTACAGTCAGGCCTCATAAGTATAACAATTTTTTTATTATTATATAATTCACCTCCCTTAGACAATGAAGGCCACTACAGTTGAGGAGGCTACTTTAGTTATAATTTCAACCCTCTTTAAACTCTATAATTCTGAAATACAAACCTTGGCAAACAAAGCTGTTTTAGCAACGAAACGAGTTAAGCTTGGTACTACCAGGGACGTGGTGGGGATCGAATATGGAATTTCTGCTTAAAAGGTGAGCGCTCTACCACTACTACATATTAATCAATAAAATGTTGGAAGATAAAGGCATTTTTGATGGGAGACCTCCGTATTTCAGACTATTTTTCAAACAAGTTTTCTTGGATTTGCTATTAGCCAATTTTTCTCTAAATTATTAGCTATTTATAAATTATAATCTAAAAACAACAAAATAACACATATGCATTCCCAATTTTAAAAAAAAATTAAAAAATTGCGGTTTTCCACAAAAAATAGATTATGTCTTAATAAATGTACATTTTTGTAAACCAGCCATTTTCCAGGCATTATTAACCACTTTCCATTATTAGCCATTTTCCAGGCATGTTATACTTTTTATTATTATTTATTGATAATCTATTTACTCCAGGGTTACTATAGTTCTGATTCCAAAATCACTTCACCCTAGTGGCCAGACAATTTAATATATACAGTTACAAGGATCTCCAAGAGTCTTCATTATGATTTTTTAAAAACTTTATTTATTTTCTCACAAACAAAATTAATTCAATGATTTATGTAATCAGTATAAGGAATAACTTACAAAATTAGCAAACAGAAAGTTAAAAAGGTACCAAATAATAATTTAGTCATAACAGACAACTCAAGACATAACCTTAAGTTACACGATTTTTATTAAAATTTCATTTATGGATTTTAAAAGCAAAGTTTTTTTTTTTAGGTCAAATGCTGGTGATTTATATTTTAGTCCTGCAAAGTTACGTGGTTGGTCAGGATCAGGAAATCAAATCAGTAATTATGAAAAAATTCGCATTTTAGGAAGAGGTACATAACGAGCTGAAAAAATAAACTAAAAGTTATAATAAACAAAATAATAAAATGAATGTATTTTCAGAAAAATTTAAAAAAAAAAATTTGTGTACCTTTTACTATTTAGTTTTCCATTTTTTAGGAGCATATGGAACTGCTGTTTTATATCGTAAAAAAGATGATGATTCTTTAGTAGTTTTAAAAGAAATATCTCTTCTTGAATTAAATGTTATTGAGCGCAATGCTGCTATGAATGAGGTCACAATAACTTTTTGAGTTTAAAAAGAGTATATAAAACTTTAAAAGGTTTACAAATTTTTATCTCTTTATCTCCAGGTGAAAGTCTTAGGTATGCTAAGTCATCCTAATATTATAAGCTATTATGACAGTTTTGATGAAGATGGTACTTTATGGATTGAAATGGAATATGCTGATGGAGGGTATTATACTGCAATAAGTATGATAACTTTAATTGTAAATTGTTGTTATATTATAAATATTAAATATTTACAGAACTTTAGCTGATTACTTGAGTAAGCAGGAAAATGATATGGATGAACGAGATATTCTTATTATTTTTTCACAAATGGTTTCTGCAATTAAATATTGCCATGATCACTGCATATTACATCGGTAAAAAAAATGTTTTTCATTTCTTATATTTAATTCTATTAATTATATTTAGTTTAGTAAATGATGATATTTGTATTATATGAATTTATGTAAGTAGTTTAACTAGGTGCAATCTTTGCACCTAATTTATTTTACACAGAATATATTTATTTTACCCTAAACAGTATAAATCTAACATAGAGATTTGAAGACTCAAAACATCTTTTTAACTCAAGAAGGTAAAGTAAAGCTTGGTGATTTTGGAATAGCAAAAATTATAAACACTCATAACATGGGCAATTTTACAGTAGTTGGTACTCCATATTACATATCACCAGAAATGGTAAAAATTTTAAAATATTTCAACTTTTTAAAAGTTTAAATACTTCAATTTTTTTACTTTGTATGTTTTTTTATACTTATGCATAAATGTTTTTCATGCAGTTGTTTCAGATTATTCAATTTGTGATGTTACAAAATATTTTTTCAAAACTCAATATAACTCATAAATATTCAAAAATTTAAAGCAAACATTCTTTTTGTCATTTAATGTAAACATAAGTTGAGCAATAAATTTCACCATTTATGTTTTACTTGCAAAGTATTTTTTTTAGTGCATAAATAGTATATAATAAAACATTAAAACAATATCAAACAATTAAATAAAAAAACTAATATCACTTTTAAAACATGTGTTTTTCAAGTTGGAACAATTTTTATATAAAAATTGTTAGTTATTTATTATTTTAAACCTGTTCTTTAAATTACTTGCAAAATTTGTTTTTTATTATTATTGGTTGTTTTCCTAAAGTTGTATAAACCTATATTAATGGAATGATCCAAGTTGGCACATCTGGTATCAAATAGATGTTAAATATAATATGGTATTTATATACATAAATGCCTATTTGTTGCTAGATATGTTGACTTGGAGTGTAAAGTTAGACATTTTAATAAAAATCCAGCGTGACCTTTTTAAAGCAAGCAGTGAACTGAGAGCTACACAAACTTTTTTTTGCCATCGATAATTGAATTTTGTTGTAAAATTGAGTACATAGTAAAAGAATAATTTGTTGGCATCATAGCAAACCGCTCAGATACTATTGTTATTGTTTATTTATGTATACCTGCTAGTTAGTTTTTACCAAGTAAATTTTAATTACCGAGAAAAAAAACTTTAGCTTTATAAAAGTTAAGTATATTAAATAGATATTGAAGAATATTTAAATTGACTGCATTTAGTAAATAAAGTTTTATTGATTTTTTGATTTAAAATTACTAAGGAAATACTAAGCTAATTATTAAGTATCTTATCCTCCACTCTACTCAAAAGATCCTCCACTCTACTCAAAACTCTATCACTTTAATGACAAAAGACAAGCTTTAAAGACAAGCTCATTAAAACCTTTTATAATGGCTTTAAAGATGTTGAGCATTTGCTTTTTAAAGATGTTGAGTATTCGATTTTAAAAAAAAATAAAAAAGTTATCTTTAAAATTTGACATTTTTAAATAAAAAAAAACTTTATTTTATTTTAAATAAACATATTTGCATAATGTAAAAAAAGTGTGTTCTAGTTAATTAATTAGTTTATTTATACCTTATAATTTTTTTTTTTTTTTTTTAATGTTTTTCAAAATTTTAACTTCCTTGTTTCAAGTGCTACTAGAAGATTGTTTCATGTTATAATTTTTGCATTTACTAAACGATAGTAGTTGTTAAAGAAAAAAACACCTGTGGTCATGTATTCTTTAGATACGTTTTTAAATTCAAATTTGATGGCTTATTAAGCTCTTAAAAAAAGACCGATTAAAAGTTATTAAAAGATATTTGTTTCATAAACAAAGTTAATTATTTATGAAATTTTATTAAACACATCTCACTGTTATTATTAAAAATATTATTTTTTTGATTATATTATTGTTCTAGTAAATGGAAAAAAAAAGTAAACCTTTTCACTATTAAACTTAAAAATTATATGTTTGATTTTATACAAATATTGCTTGCTTAAAATTGACATTACTGATGTTTAGGAATTATAAAGGCTGTTTAATACTATCAAATAAAATTAGCTACAAATATCAATTATTTGGACCTTAAATTAATTTATTAATTATCTGGACCTTAAGTTTTTAAGCTGATTAATTTTTTATTTTACAATGCATTGTAGCATTAAAAAATTTAAAATTGCCTTTAATTTGAAATTAAATACTACAGAAAATTGACACTTGTGTTTAAAATTAAATACTACAGAAAATTGTGTATAAAAAAAGATTTAACTACTTAATATTCCTTTGTCATATTATCATATATAATATCCTTTAATATCAATTATCATATATAATATCCTTTAATATCAATTATCATATATAATATCCTTTATCTAGATTTTTAATGGACTAAATAAAAAAAATTTGATTTTTTTTTTAACATTTGAAGATGAAAAAAATAATTCATTTTAAACCAATGACTAAATAAATAATTAAAACTAGGGGTTTATTTTTATTTTTAATTCAAGGTTAAAAAATTAAAATAATTATTCAAATTAAAAAGTAAAAATAATAGAAAAATGAAATAAAATGTTAGAGAATAAATTGAAAATAGAAATGATGGTAACAGTGTTTTCGTTTTCATATGATCATCAAATAACTACAAAAAAAAAAAAAAAATTACCGTATACAACAATAATAGCTATAGCCGATACTGGTGCCCAAACATGCACTGCTGGCTCAGACATATTAAAAAAATGGTTAATACCATAGCAGTATTTAATCAAATCGAGACATAAAATCCGGGGTGTCACCGTTAAAGTTTCAAAATCCGGGGTGTCACCGTTAAAGTCTCAAAGTTAAAAGTGTTTTAATAGTAAAAATATCAAATAAAATTGGGTCAACAACACAACTATTATACATATGCGACAACGTTAGTGGAATCTACTTATCACAAACCGCTTTAAAAAATCTATCCATCATTTCCAATCGATTTTCCTAATCCCATTACAAATACAAACATCAGTAAATTATCTAGTCAAAAATAAACCAATAAAAACAAATATATATTAGCTAAATGCGGCTATTTTAATAGAACTGCAAGTCCACCATTACCCAAAGTGATGCCAATTGTTGCTACAATAGAAAATTGCTTAGCAATTGAAAACTGGATAAAAATTTTTTATGCCAACAGCGCATTTAGTGCATGCACACACCAAAAACTACAATCAATGACAGGAAGGCCATTAAAAATTACATTCAAGGATGGGGTCATTCCAAGTGCAGTACATAAACCAATACCAATACCACATCATTGGGGAAACAAGGTAAAAAGAAACTCGATGACGATGTAGCACTCAGTATTGTTGAACCAGTACCACAAGGAACCCCAATGGAATGCTGTTCCAGAATGGTTATTGTACCAAAGAACGACGGTTCATGTTGAAGAACTGTTGACCTACAACTTTTAAACAACGCGACATTGAGAGAAACGTAACACTAATTCGCCATTTAATATTATTAATCAAATCCCAATGGTTAAAAAGAAGACTATCATTGACGCTTGGAATGGATATCATAGTGTACCTCTCTCACAAACTGCCAAAAAGGCTACAACTTTTATTACAGAATGGAGGCGTTATCGATATTTAAGAGCACCACAAGGATTCCATGCATCAAACAATGGATACACTAAACGTTTTGACAATATAACCCAGAATTTTCCACGAGTTGGCATATGTATTGATGATTCTCTACTTTGGGATAACGACATTGAATCCTCATTTTGGCATACTATATTTTATATTAAAATATGCTCAGACAACGAAATAGTTTTTAATCATGAAAAATTTAAATTCGCCTCGGACAACATCGAGTTTGCTGGGTTTGAGTTAACCATGACAGGATACAGACCTTCAAAAAAGCTTTTAGAGGCAATAGAACATTTTCCATTGCCAAAAAATATTACCGGGATTTGCTCATGGTTTGGCCTTATTACACAGGTATAATACGCTTTTTCTCACGCACCAATAATGACTCCATTCTTTACCTCTTAAGCAGAAAGGTAAATTTTATTGGGATCAAACTCTTGAAAACCTTTTTTAAGAATCTAAGCTTAAAATATTTGAACTAATAAAAGAAGGTGTACAAACATTCGACACGTCAAACTTGTTTATCTACCGATTGGAGTAAATCAGGTATAGGTTTTATACTAACACAAAAACATTGTGAATGCCCTGACATTGATAATCTAATATGCGTCCCATCTCATTGGAAAATTGTTAATGCCAGTTCCCGATTTACAAAAGATGCTGAAAATTGATACGCCCCCATTGAAGGCGAATCTTTAACATTATTATATAGTTTAGAAAGTTGCAAAATGTTTGTGATGGGATGTCCTAACCTAATTGTTACAGTTGACCATAAATTATTAGTAAAAATATTCAACGATCAAAACATAGACAAGATCAAGAATCCTAGAATCCTTAAATTACGCGAAAAAACACAAATGTATAAATTCAAAGTCATTTCGATCCCCAGAAAACATAATTCTGCTCCTGATGCTATGTCACGAATTAATAACAATAACAGTAATACCTCAAACAAAACATGCGATATTGAAAGCGGCTTATTAGGAACCATTCATTCTTTATTTAATCATTTCAACGGCTCTATTAAAATGGATAGAATTATTACAGAACCATCAATCGACTCTACATATCAAGATCTATTACAAACAGGATTCCCAGAAAAAAAACAAAATATACAACATATACAAACAGGATTCCCAGAAAATAAACAAAATATACCAACACATCTTTGAGAATTTCGGTCAAAACGTTCAATTTATACGCCATAAATAGTCTCATATTTTTAGATGGTAAAGTCTTAATATCAAACAAACTGAGATCAATCTTACTCAATTATTTACATGAAGGCCATCAAGGTGTAACTGCAATGAGAGAAAATGCAAAAGGAAGATTCTTCTGGCCAGGCATGAGTGCTCAAATACAAAACTACAGAGCTCAATGTCGCAGATTTAAGGAAATCGCACCCTCAAATCATAAAGAACCACTCGAAGAACCAATATTAACTGAATACCCTTTTCAGTGCAGAGTCTGCTGTAAAACCTATGAAACATTTATCAACAACAAATATCAGCTCAAGTGGATCCTTAAACACTAACAAAGTGTGAAGAGCATTATTATTGCACAGAAACACATCATCCCAAGACATTGGAACATCACCAGCTGAACTATTATTTGGAAAAACAATAAATAACCACTTACCAAATCCAATGCAATTCAGAAAAGAATGGTCCGAATTGGCCAATATGCGTGAAAAACCAGCAATAAAACAATATCAACTCAAAAGTTTACGAAACAACATGCCAGTAAAATCTCCCTTACCTATTGAACAAATGGTACTAACTAACAACTTGTCTTCCTGGCCAATGGAATCTCCTGCGATTATTGAAACACCTACAACAACCGAACCTTCAACAACAACCGAATCTTCAACAGCAATCAAACAACCCTTGAGAAGGTCAATTAGAACAAGAAATATACCAGTCAAGTTAAAAGACTATATATTGTAAAACAAAAAACAAAACAAACAAAAAATTAACATGTTTATACAAATTCCTGTATGACATTCAGTTTAATGACATTTAGTTTATATAATTGTTGCGTTTACCATTTTTGTAATTTTAGTTTTAAAATAGAATAGAACAATTGTGTATGCTTAAAATTATGTTATTATACAGGAGTTACTTTTAACAAAAATCCAAGACCCAGGCTTAAAGATTTACACTCTAAACTATGGAATATTATTGAAAACTTCATATGCCATAATGTATATAATAAAGTTTATTTTAATAATTTCAACATTTTTAACTGTTGCATTTATTATTTTTATTAGTGTGAAGGTCTTGCATATGATAAAAAGAGTGATCTTTGGTCACTAGGTTGTATTTTGTATGAAATGGCCAATTTAACCAAAACTTTTGATGGTACGAATCTTCCTGCTCTAATAACAAAAATTGTGTCGGTAAGTTGTTCTGTAATTTTTAGCTTATTTGATTATAAATATTATTTACTGTAAACTTTTTTTGTTAAAATAAAATGGTTTTATTATATACATATATATATCAACCCTTGGAATAGGGTTGGCATTCGGCTATGTCGACCTGACTGCTGACCTAAAAGTGTTTGAAGTCGGCAAAAATTTGCTGAAACACTTTTAGGTCAGTTTTAATTCCAAGGCTTGGTGTATATATATATATATATATATATATATATATATATATATATATATATATATATATATATATATATATATATATATATATATATATATATATATATATATATATATATATATATATATATATATATATATATATATATAATATATATATGTATATATATATATATATATATATATATATATATAAAGGTAATCAAAACATTGTTTGTGTTTAATATTGTAACGTTTATAGAATAATTGTTATGCATTTTAAGAATTACATGCATTTAAGAATTAAAAAAATTTTGTTCAAGTATTAAAATTTGATAACAAGTACATATTTTATGTTTTGATTGAAGAAAAATGGGTAAAAAAGTCAGGTTGAGTGTATAAAGACAAGCTATTATTATGGCATTACACAAAGAAGGTTATTAAACATGGAAAATTGCTTCAAAAATAAATATTTTTTAAAATACAGTCTTTAGAACATTGCAAAAGAAGCATGAAAATTGGCTGTAATCAGAGTTGTTATCGTTTGGGGTGACCTAGAGCAATGCTGAATAACAAAGACAAGTTTACCTGTGTTCAAAGTAAAAGAAATTGTACTTAAACTTCATGCAGAAACACCAGTATCTGTTTCAAATATAAAATGGTGTCTTTGCAATTACAGCATCAAAGGATAGTATGTTCGAACAACAATATGTTTGTTGGTTAATTGGAGAATGCATGATAAAATAATGGGTAGTCCCAACAGTCAAGTCATGGTCTGGGGATGCTTTACTGGAAAAAAAGTTAGTGGCCTTGTGCAAATTGAGGGCATTATGAATAAAAAGAAAAACTTTAACATTCCTCAAAAACATGCGTTTCCATGCAGAAAAAGAATTGTGGGTTGCAGGGTTTTTTTTCAACAGGTTAACGATCCTAAACACACTTCTAAATTCTGCCAAAACTATATCACAGCCAAAAAAAACAAAATATACAAAATAGCCTCCTCAGTTGTCTGATTTAAACCCTATCTAGTTGTTGTGGGATAAGTTAGATAGAAATGTGAGAAAAATGCAACCAACCAATCAAAAACACCTTTGGGTATTCAAACATGCTGGAATCAAATATTGACAGAATCATTGCAGAATTTGATTATAAGGGTACACAGAATATATGCTTTTATTATAAAAGTGAAAGAAGGATACTTTGAAGAATCAATAGTTAAAAAAAAAAACTGTAAGATTTTTTATGTCATCTTTTTATAATGTTATTATTTTTTTCTAATCAATATGAGTAATTAAAAATTATTTGAAAAATCTTTGTTTAAATTTGTGTGATTATTTTATTGTAAACCATATAAATACATGCGATGAGAAAAATCTTTTTTTTGTGTGCATATTATTAAATTTATCAAGTGAACCCAAAATTTTGAATGCTAGTTTATAAATGTTAAAGTAATCAGTTTTCAATCTCTTTTTTTATTAATTTTTAACAGATAAGTATTGAAGTAGTCACATAAAAGTTTATTTAAAATATATTTTTAATAATAAAGTTACTTTATATAAGTTGGTTTTAATGTTTCATTAAATCATTGTACTTTCTAAGGTCATATGGTAAAAAACACATTATTGTAAAATGTTATTTTCACCATAAATTTAATTGCATTATTTAAATTACTTTTCTCTGTAAATGGCATCTTTAATTTATTGTTGGTAAAATGTTTTACTTTTTCTATGAAGAAAATTTCAAGAAATTAATGAAAGAGCTTTTGTAGTTTTTATGTAACATATGTTAAAAAATACACGAAAAAATACATGAAAAGTTTCCAAAAGTATGATCCAAAAACTTTTTTACTACATGTTGATATTATATCTTATGCTTTTACATTAAAGTTTTAAAGTTTTTAATAAATATGCTTAATTAAAACACATTTTAATTTTGAATTGCATAATGTTAGTTAAAACTTTCCAAATTAACCTAAAAGCACATCTTTAAAGATTAAAAGAAAGTTGTAAACCACATTTTTCCAGAATGTTATGATGTATGGCAGTATGAAGCGAGCAACGAAGAAGTTGAAAAAACAGAGCAACGAGCAACAAAGGTTGAAAAAACAGAGAAAATGATTATTTGATGGGTGTGTAGTTTACTCTAAAAGATAAGAAAAAAAGTAATAATATTAAACATAGGTAGGGAATAGTTAGTGTATCTGAGGGTACATCAAGAAAGATGAAGCTGGTTTGGGAATGTAGACCATAATTTAGAGATTTCTAGGTCTTTACCAATTGTCTATGTTTGGGTACCAGCATGTAAAGAGCTGGTAGTTTCACGGAAAAAAAATTAGAAGAAAAGAAGCAGAGATTGAAAAACTCTGAGAAAGTGTGTTACAGATTAGATGATCTTTTCAGATTAGATCATCTAAGATAAAGATGATCTAAATATATTCTACATCTTATATATATATATATATATATATATATATATATATATATATATATATATATATATATATATATATATATATATATATATATATTATTGTATTGGACAAACATTTGCAACCAACATTGAGCAATGCTAAAAAGTGTTCCTAATTTTACATGTCTTAAAAACAAAACGAAATATACTACCACAACAAACAGTTCAGGAGTCTGGAGTCATAGCATGCCATGACATGAGCAATCAGCTGACTGGTGACAGCACACAGGCAGAATTTTGTTGACAAGTGCCATTTTGCAGCAGACAAAACAAGTGCAACTTTTTTGGTTTGTTTCATTTTCTTAAGTCTGGTCCGTGTCAACGTCATGGAAGTTTTTTAATAATTAAAGGAAGTATCCAGAACTTTCCAGAAGCATGCAGCAGCTTCCGGAAGTTTCCAGAAGAAGCATCTTAAAGCATCGAGAAGCATCCAGAAACTTCCAGAAGCATCAAAAAGAAGCATCTAGAATCTTCCAGAACAGGTTCACACAGGTTCATTTTACTACATAAAAGACATGTAAACCGACATGAAATTCAGTTAGTATATGAAAGTCAATCAGTCAGTATTATCAAGAAGTGAGTTTTATCAAAGTGTTTTATCAGTATTATCGAAATGATAACAAAGGTGGAAGACCGCGTTCCACTACTTCTAGAGAGGATTCTATGACCTTCAGATCCGTCAAGAAGGATCCCTGGATATCATCAGTCGAGATACAAAAGCAATTAGAGCTGCCTGTATTGGACCAAACAATCAAACAACGAGCTGTTGAAGCCGGATTGTTTTCTCAACGCCCTGCAAA